CCACAACTCCTATCATGTGTTAAGTCAATGCAGTCAGATTAATATACACTAGTATTATATATTAGTATATATAATACTGACAGCTCCCACCAGCTTCCATTGCCGGCAATTTTCCAATAATACTTTACTCTCTATTTTCTTTTTGATACCTTTCAAAAAAAAGATAATTTATTTTTAAATTTAAAAATAATTTAACTTAAATTTATAAATCGATCATTAATGAAAAACTTTTATAACCACACAAATACTCTTGTCCCTTTTAGATTTGTTTAGGATCACAAATTTTAAAAATCTTAATTTTTCCTTAAATTACGTGCCCGTCACACAAATTCACATAAATTTGAAAGAGGAGAGTAGTACTCAACAATGGTTACACAAAGTTAGAGGTAAATGAATTGGTGAAAATTTTAGTAATTGGATCAAAATTTACTTAAAATAAATTACTCGAGGTGCACATTAGCTCCATGAACGTGACCAAGATAAAGAAAATTGAAATGGCCAATGAAGTAGAAGAAAATGGTGGAGCTAAAGAAGGAAGAATCATTCAAATGCAAATCTAATTTATGATCAAATACCACAAACAAATAGGTAGTAGTACTTCTGTATAAGAATGAATATGACTAACTGAACAAATTCGGTTTGCAGATTATGTATATATAACAAAAAACAAATTCAACTATATATCCTACCAACAATCCATTTACCCAAAAACAAAAACAAAAAAATTAACAAAAAATGAAAAATTAAACAACCAAAACCAAAAGAGGAAAAAGGAAAATCACACTCTTTCCTTTCACCCAGTAAAATCAAACTACACCTCAGAAAGTCCATTTCCAGATCTTGATCCGAAGATCCACGTCACATTTCACATCAGATGTAGTAGCTTTAGTCGGCGACTTTCCGGTAGGAACAGTGATTTTAATACCATTGCATTTCACTCTAATTCCAACTTTCTTCGTTTTTAAGCTTCCAACTTTGACTTTCACCTTTGTATCAAGCTTTATTTCCAATGGCAGGGTCTTCTTATTCTTCAGTTCAGATCTCAACGTAGAAACCGCCGAATCGTCGAGATTTTGACCCGAACTTGACACGACGGTTTTTAAAGTGGTAACGTTTTTCGTACCATGCGTGAGAGCCGGTAAAGAACCAGAACCGATGTCCAGGTCATCGGAACTGAATGAAATATTGATCGGATCGTAGAAGAAAGTGACTTTTTTGTTAGGGTTACGAGCGATGACGGTGAGGTTGAATTTGGAGACGAGTTTAGTGGAAGTGAGATTGAATTGTGAGACTTGAAGAGAAGAAACTGAAAACGACGGTCTCTGTGGACGGTAAAGGACCCAGAAAATAGCGCCGGCGATGGCGGCGAGGAGGACGATAGTGATTATGAAGAAAGTGGTCCAGAGACAACAGCAACAGCAGCAGCTCCGTCGGTGTTTACGACGGGGAGGCGGCTGAGGACGGTAGGTAGGGCGGGTGGCGTTGTAAAGTTGAGCTTTGTTTGCCGGAAAGGCTGGATTAGCTCCGCCGTTGACGGCGGGGGCGGCAGTGCCGTTTGCAGCGGCGGGTTTAGCAGCTGGGTATACTCTATCCGCCATGTTAGGAACTAAAAAAAAGATCAGAGATTAGGGTTTGGTTTCTATGTATAGAGAGTATTTATATTTATATAGAAAGAAAGGGAATAAATTTTGGTGGCGGTGGTAGTAGGAAAATTAGAAGAGTTGAATTGTGAAGTGAAAGGAAGGTGAAATGGCAACTGACAATGGAGATTTTGAAGAGACAGACAAGTACCTTATAACTAATGCGGTGTTCACAAATCACCACACGCTTTCATTAGCGAGTGTTTAATCAGCAGTTATTAGGATAATAATTGGTGATTAGTGATTAACCCCTTCTATTAATGGGTTATTATTATTGCCTTTTATCTTTTTACGCGGAACCGTTATATTGAAGCCTCCTTTGGAATGTTAGGAAAAAATATGGAAAATAATTTATGAATGGGAAATTTAAAGATTCTTTGCAACTATCAAGAGCTTAAGGGCCATTATTCAACAAAAGAAGGAAAATAATTAATTTCTTAAAGTCTTAGATACAAGTTTCTGACAATTTGATTATTATAAGAAAACTTTCCTTAATTCAAAATATTTTTTATGAATGGAAATTTAACAATTCCTTGAGATTAGAGTTGTCTCGCGCTATTGATTATAATTCCACGTTAAACTAAGAGGTCAACTACATTAAATCTTGGTAATGCTTTCTCGTTGACTAACTCTACATTTCCATATATACTTTCATATATTGAGTTTAATTTTTAATTTTCTTCAATCGCTTAATTCTTAATTCACATTTGACCATTAATCGATATTAACTTGTTCTCCCCTTCCACTACTGTCTTTTCTGAGAAGAAGAAAAAAAATTATAACTTTTCAAAGGCTTACAATTTTCTTGACTATTCGATTATTATAATGGCTCTTGCCTTCAATTTTATATATTGTAAACATACGTTTAAGGAGAAATAATGCAGAAAAGCAAGATTGATTTAGAGGAATATTGGAAAATAGTTTTCAGACTTTTGGCAATTAATTAAAAAAAAGGAAGAAGAGGAGGAAACTGACATACAAAAAATCGGTAATGGAGGCGCGTGCTAAACGAGTGATTAAAGATAGTAAAATTTGTATTATTTGCACCTAAAATAGATGTCTCCACCTCAACAACTGTGGCCCAGTGGACCTTTCGAGGGCCATAATGGAACTCGCTTGAGAAACTAAACAGTATAGCCGCAGCAAAATGTATATTTTTATGTATTAAAGTATAATATAAAAAAAATTACTTTCTTCGTTAATTTTGAGTTATTTATTTTTGACTTTACACCTTCTTTAAATTATTTTTTACAATTCTACCAATAATAAGATAGCATTTCCAAAAGTCTTAGCAAATAATTTGAGGAATGAGTAGTTAATGATAAGGGTAAAACAGAAAAAAAAAAATTCTCTGTGATTTTGTATATTGGGCAAGTAAAAGTAAAAAAGTATTTTTATCATAGTAGACAAGTAAAAGTGTACGTATGATGTACATAAAATATGTATAATTAGTATTTCCTCTGTTCCAATTTATGTGAACCTATTTAACTGGGCACAGAGTTTAAGAAAAAATGAATATTTTTGAAATTTATGGTCCTAAACAAGTCAAAAAGGGGCCAGAGTATTTGTGTGGTTATAAAAGTTTCTCATTAAAGGTAGAATTGTAAGTTTAAGCTAAATTATTTCCAAATTTAGAAAGAGGTCATTCTTTTTGAAACGGACCAAAAAGGAAATAGGTTCACATAAACTAGAACGAAATATACTTTTTGTATATAATTATTTTTGACCGACTAACCAAATGCGTAACTTGCCCAACTCGTTTTGGAATATATATCCTTCTTTTTTCCACCACATTGCGTGGAATAGTTGAGTTAAAGGCAGGTGTGAGAGCGATCGATCGGTCCCCTATTCCCACGCCTAAACTTTGTTTGGTTGTTCCAGATGTTATAGGGGCTGCACTTGCAATTTCAAACTCTAAAATCATTAAAATGGCCGCTTGGACCAGTACCAAATCAAGAGTATTCTCTCCGCGTAATAAACTCAGAATTTAAACGTTGTATATCTGAAATTCTTAATCCTGAAATTCTGAGTTCTATTGCACCTGTAAATCTGCATTTGGTTCTGCCATGACCTCTACAACCTTATTATTTTTGCTTACCTATCTATACTAGTGGCGTTTTGTTATCTCATTATCTTGTGGTTGTTACTGTCTTAATTCTTTCGTGGCTTCTATGCTACCGTATTTCCTTTTCATTATTGTTGGTACTTATGTTTTTCTTATGCCAAGGGTATATTGGAAAAAGTCTCTCTACCTCCATAAGATAGGGGTAAGGTGTGCGTACACACTACCCTCTCAATATCTTATATGTGATATTACACTGGATATAATTGGTGTTGTTGTTGTATTTCCATTAGTTAAAGGATAAAAGAATAATTTCAAGTTTAACAAGTGTTGTGTCTCGCTTGTCCTACGGACAACATTATTAACTTTCGATCTTGAAATTCTGTCTATGGGACAAGCAGGGGTCAAAATTTAAAAACCACTCAAAAGGTGTCATATTTCTGCAATTTTAAGTGCAAAAAACACTCTAAACTGATCAGCAACCCAGTGACGGGCTTTCTGGGCTGTAAGGAAACCCATTTAGCCTAAATACTCAACTTTCTTGTCTTTGTGCATGTTTGATAAACTAGAATGCTGACAAATTATTTGGTAAACCGTAATATAAAAGATTTACATAATCAATGGACCGGTAATGCAACTATACTTTACATAAATTAAGTATATGATCGATTAAAACCATTCCATGAAAAATTTAAATCTTCCATTACCTTTTATCAAAGACAAGGTCCTTTCCAAAGGCAAAAAAAGAAAAAGAAAGAATAAGTGGTTTACTAAAAATTTTAAATTCTCTCTTCCATCCTATAAATGTAATAAACGCTTAAAGAAAAAGAAAAGAGGGTTTCAAATTCCATAATATTTCAAGGTAAAATGTTCTATACAGTTGCGACTGTAAGTAATATTAAAACAGCGTAATACTTTATATTCGATACTCCGTATTTTCGCCACTCAACATGAAACTAGAGATATTTAAAAAAAATAATTAATATTTTTAGTAAGCACATAGAATAGCAACATTTCATACAATTGGTGACTTAACCTATTAATTGTCATTTAAATGGGAGCGATTTCAACTTTAAGTTACTTAAAACGATTAACGTCACATACCTCTTACTTGTTTAAAATGAACCTTAGACCATTAAAAACATTTCATTATCTGGAAATTCTGAAGTTCATTATTTGCACTTTTAAATAGTATACTTTTTTTGAATTTCAACTTCAATCCAAATATTGTTCATCCGTATATAGGGTAAAATATGTTCAAATTAAATGATCGCGTGAGAAAACTACACGTGGAGCCGAAAACAGAAGATAATCGGGTCCTAAGGCAACGATCTCGGTTGTTATCGGGGAGAATGATATTCATAAAGGCGAAATAAATGTCTGCCACCCGGTAGCACTTAATGAAGAATATTCTGCAGCATTAAGTATATGATCCGTTACACATTCTTCAATGGCCCTCATAATTGTCATTAAAGAGGGGCTTGATCCTAGGACCTTGTTCCCTAGGTGAAGCTATAAATAGTGAGCTTTACCATCATTGTAAATGAAACGGATTTTCTGACAAGTATACACTATATTCTATCCAAAGCTCAATAACATTTTACTTTCTTACTTATTCATATTGTTCTTACTGCCTCCGGAAGCTCTGCTCCCGGAACCAAGATTTCTGTTATTTTATCTCAACTTCAAGGCTAAGTCTTATATTTTTGTCTAATTTATTTATCACTTTATGATCAAATCGATTCACTTGTCTATAAATCACGTATAAATTCAACTGTACCGTTTTACGGGTAAATAGTTTGGCGCCCACCGTGGGGCTTAGATAGTTGTGTAATTGAATTGATCCTTGCATCTATTACTAACTTGTTTGATTCTTTGTTCTTAGCAAAAATCATTAAAAATGGCAAATAACAATGTCAACATCGCACATAACGTTGAGGCCCAAGGAAATCAGCCTTAGCACGAAGATTCCATCAGTGATACTCGCAACGAGGGGGATGAAGCCATGCCGGTTCACGACGGACAATATCCACGACATGTTTGAGAGGCAACCCCTGATGATGCTGAAGACGAACACGTCGTTGAAACAATAAGGATCCTAAGGGAGCAACAAAAGGCCATTATGGGCCATCTCTTGCGGCATGATTAGGTCATGACGGAATTAAGGCAGGCGCTGTCGGGTGCTTCCAACAACGCGAATGGATAAGGTCCAGTTCCTCCTGGCACTCCCGTAAATCAAACAACGCAGAGGGTCGATAACAACACCCCGAGGGACAAAGTCAACTTTGATAAGGTCAGGGGGGACAATAGCTAATCTGGTAACAACAATGAGAATGATCCCTTTAAAACCGAACTCATGCGGTTTACGAGGGAAATAAACACCCTAACGGATCAAATTCCGGGCGCACCACCAGTATTCAAAGGATCAGATTCAAAAAAGTATACCCAACTGCCGCTCAAACCAAGCACGACACCAGAGTTGTTCCCGAAGCGGTTCAAAATTCCAGACGTGCCGAAGTATGATGGGACTTCAGATCCTCATGAGCATATCACCACCTATATTACGGCGGTGAAGGGAAACAATTTTGCTCCACACGAGATTGAGTAAGTCTTGTTAAAGAAATTTGGAGAGACCCTCACGAAGGGGGCCCTAACATGATACTCTTGCCCGAGCATTCTATAGATTCCTTCAAGATGCTCGCGGATTCTTTCATTAAGGCCCATGCCGGGGCCAGAAAGGTACATGCCCGAAAGGTCGACATATTCAGGATTGCACAAGGAGAATCCGAGTTGGTACATGGGTTCGTGACTAGATTCCAGAAAGAAAGGATGTTGCTCCCGGCCGTACGAGGCGAATGGGCAGCAGGAGCATTTACTAAAGGGGCTGAATCTGAGA